GAACAGCCGAACTGCAGCTAACAGTCAGCTGAAGTGGCCTGCAGTACTGCACTCTAACCACTGCGCCACCTCGGCTCTGATGCGGCCCTCAATGAGATTGAGTTTGACACCCCTGACCTATGGCATTGGAACTTTGAGCAATACTTTGCCTTGGACTCTGATTTAATTTTGGATGCTCTTTGGATCCCTGGCAGTGGCATTAGGGACACTCTTGCAAAGCTCCTTATTGACAGCACCCACCTGAAGCTTCAGAGAGTCCTTATCGTAGGGGCTGGGAATAAAATCCGTGTGGACCTTGGCCTTTCCACAGAAGGGTCCATCATATGGCATAGAGATGGTCTCTTCCTTGCTGCTTACGGTGGGACTGAACAATTCCCTTTCTAGAAGGGGACGAGAGCCAGGAGAAAGAAATGTTAGCCGACTCAATGGCAGCCTGGGGACAGTTTCATTCAGGTAGTCCTCGACTTACAACAGTTTGTTTATCAAAGTTACAATGTCGCCGAAAAGAGTGACTTATCACCATTTTTCACACATCATAGCAGAATGACCCCCACGGTGACATAATCAAAATTCGGACAGTTGGCAACTGGCTCATATTGATGATGATTGCAGGATCTCCAGATCGTGTGATCTGCTTTTGTGACCGAGCAAAGTCAATGGGGAAGCCAGATTCACTTAACAACCACGTTACTAACTTAACAACGGCAGTGATTCACTTAACAATTGCAAGAAAGGTTGTAAAATGGAGCAAAACTTACTTAAACATCTTGCTTAGCGACATACGTTTTGGGCTCAATTGTGGTCGTAAGTCAAGGACTATCTGCACTGAGTTCGACTTAGGGTGAATTTCTCCACCCTACGAACCACCAGAATCATTGCTTTGCAAATGTAGTTCTAGGTTTTGTTAAGTAATATTTGCACTTAATTCTATATTGGGAATGTATCTGCTGAACAAAACTCTGCATTGGTGACAGGAAGGGCATCTGGCCAGAAAACACTCAGCTCCATTCTGTTGCCCAGACTCCACCCCGCGTGGGATTATGGGGTTGTTAAAAGAAGATGATGATTCTATAGTAGATAGACCCTATCTCTGGAATGTTATACAGTATCAGGTCCTGGACACAGTAAACCAGAAGAGGTTTAGGAAAGGCCTATCAGAGGCCAGAAGCTGAATCTTCTGAAGACAAGGAGAGAAGAGGGATGGCTTAGTCTTGAGAAGGAGGAAGGACAGAGAGATCTTTTCAGTTACTTGAAGACTGTCCAGACTTCTTTTATGGCCCCCAACTGCAGGACACAGAATAATGGATGATATTACAGGAAGGCAGATCCCTACTGAACAAAAGCATCTTTGTGAGCATGTAGCTGACTACGCAAGACCTTATAGCAATAGCAATAGCAGTTAGACTTATATATCGCTTCATAGGGCTTTCAGCCCTCTCTAAGCGGTTTACAGAGTCAGCATATTGCCCCCA